GAGAGAGAGAGAAAGAGTGGTGTGTGTGTGTGGCCAGCTCAGCCCACCAGGGGGCGGGCTGGCTGGCATGTGGTGCTGGGGGATCGAACCGTGGTCCCTGTGCTTCGCTGAACTTGTTCTAAGTAGGTGCTTTAGACCACTGAGCCATCTCTCCAGCCCTAAACTGAAGAATTTTGAGTCTATTACACAGTCAATTCGGTGTCTGCATAAAACTAGAAACATCAGATTCAAAGCAGGAAAAGTGACAAACTTAACAATTACCAGTTTATTCAATGTTGCTTTTGCTCTATCTTCCATGCCAATGATTCACCGTGCCACTTCATTTAATCCTACCAGCACCCACACAAGATGTGTACTATTATTGCTACTTCACAGAAGTAAAATCACACATCCACCATCACTCAGCAAGTAAGCAATGAGATCAAATTTGAACTCGGGATATATGTGACTCAAACTCTGGTCCCTAACTTTTTTTTTTTTTTTTTTTTTTTTCCCAGAACCGGGGATTGAACTCAGGCTCTTGCGCTTGGCAGGGAAGCGCTTATTCCACTGAGCCATCTCCCCGGCCCCTCTGGTCCCTAACTTTGAACCATATAGCCTCCAACCCAGACCAGACCATAGCTGATAGTGGAACTAAAGGCCAGATAATCCAAACCGTTCTAAGTCCCAAAGCAATGATGAGGAAACCCTGCTGGCCATCCTCTATCCTGGCAATGTAATACCCATCTTCAGAACTAGGGACATTCGGTCAGTGTTCACCTGAGAGACCTAGGAAAGTCAGGCCACGCAAGAAGGGAAGAGGAGCAGAAAGGAGGAGACCAAATATTAAAGAAATCTGACTACTGCTTCTTAGAGAAGACTAAAGACACACAGAAAAACATAGAAACAGCTCACCACCCATGGCAGATAAATAGCTTAGCAAATTGCAGGCTGCGCACTCGCTGCATTATTCAGCCTGAAAAGGGAAGGTCACTATGGCACATGCTACAATGTGTCAGTTGTAAGAAGATAAATACTGTATGATTCCACTGATACGATGTTCCAATGACAGTCAAATTAACCAAAACAGAAATGTAACATGGGCTGGGAAGACAGGGGCACGGGGAGTTGTTGACATGGACTACATTTCCATAGAGGAAGATAACCCCAGTCTTCCTCCTGGAAATGGATGGTGGTGATGCTTGTATGATGCCAGGAAAGTTCTTAATGTCATTGAGCTATACACTTAAAAGAGTTTTCTGGTTTGTTGTTTTGTTTTTTGTTTTTTTTTTTTTAAAAAAAAGGTCCCTGTATATATATTTTGACAAAAGTCAAAGAGAATCTTTCATTTTCCAAGAACTACCCTGAGAAGTACATGTCAGTCAGCACTGGAAGGTGCAGGCACTTGTGTCTAGACACAGGGCACAGATGGACATCTCCTGCTCCAATGGCAGCACAAGTCCTGGAACCTGCTGGAGTGGAAGAGGGTGTGTCCTCTCCAGGTACAGATGTACAGGCAGTCTAGAGGGAAATGTCACCCACCACAGGGGATAGCACAGAGAAAGCATGAAGGGTTTCCATTCTGGAGGAGGCTCATCGCTGCCCTTGTTAGTCAGGAGTGTGTTTTGATCTTTAAAATGGAGAAGGTAGGGGCTGGGGAGATGGCTCAGTACAATAAGTGTTTGCCTGGTGACCACAAGGGCCCAAGTTCAATCCCCGGTTCCTCCAAAAAAATAAATAAATAAATAAAATAAAATGGAGAAGGAGTAAGCACTTCCAAAGCACATGGTGAGGAGTGGGAGGATGCATGCTCATGTGGCTCTTATTTCCTCGGTTCCTCATTTCATCAGTCCCATAGGTGATGTCCAGCAGAAGGTAATGGGAAAAGGTAGTAAGTGTGGGGCTAAATGCTTAAAAAAAGACTTCTACGTAAACACAGAAAGACAGGAGAAAACCTTAAGGGTCATTAAATACTAAAATTGCTGAGAATACAACAAAAGAAAACATCTTTTCTTTCAGTAATATCTGAAAACTGTATTTTTTTTCCTCCTTTCACCTTACCCAGATATGGGGTCCATAATTACTGCTAGTTAAACTTCACACACACACACACACACACACACACACACACACACACACAAAACAAAGATAAAGTTAGGAAACTATTGTGTATTTGCACATGTACATTTACTGCTGTCTTCTTTTACAAGCCAGGAATAAAATGTAACACTACCATCACCCAGACAAGCAGTGACTCTCAATTATTTTCTCATTTGAGGCTCTTCCTTACCAGCACCAGGACATGCAGAGGCAGACCACTGCCCCAAAACCCAGGAGTAGCATTCAGCCATGCTCTTAAATCTGAATTATGTGGCCTCCAGCTAAGCAAGATTATCATCTTTCTGTAGATGAGGAAACTAAGATAGAGGGTAGGTAAAGTACTCAAGGTAAGAGACTGAGCTGCAATGGAAACCAAAATAGCAAGTAACCACTAAGCTATTTGCCACACAGGACTGTGGTCCCTGTGGCCTAGCTTCCTGTGTGACTGCACAGCATCTAGCAGCCCCTTATGGACTGGTGATCTCTGTACCCACAACATTGTGAATACTCAGGATCTTTTTTTTTCTTTTTTTTTCTTTTTTTTTTTTTTTTTTTTTTTTTTTTGATAGAACCGGGGATTGAACTCAGGTCCTTGCACTTGCCAGGGAAGCACTTATTGTACTGAGTCATCTCACTCAGAACAGCCTGAGTTGGTCCTGGTTATTTATCTCTGATTCTCTTTGGAGCCACTGCTTGTCCAGCTCTGCCAGGACACAAACCTGTGTAATCTCTCACTTTGCCCTCTGGGTAGGCACAAATGGTCCATATAAATGTTCAGGAGAATCTGTGCACTGCCATATATTGAACTTTTTTAGGAAAGCTGTCATCTCATAAATGTACTGATAAAAAGGGGAAGGTGCCTATGGACACTAAAACATTTATCTCAGGTTTTTCTATTTAAGGAGCATAAACCCAAA